TGGGATGGGGGGGGGGGGGGGGGGGGGGGGGTTGTATGTTTCAAAGTATGTGAGTGTCCTGACTCCTGAGTGCTTTGAATGGAAAGAATGTGGGGGATCCTTCAGTTCTCTGTAATGCTTTGAACTGACCACAAAACAACACATCCTGTTTAAGGAAAAACCATCATGCCCTTTGACACCCAAGACATTGTCGGGAACATGCAAACTATCAGGTTTTGGGAAAAGCATCCAATGACTCGAAATCATTGACGTGGCCACCTTGGTAAAGTGCAAAGAATGCTATGCCCACACATGAAGACAATAGACAATAGACAAGTAGACATAAATGTGAAAGATTGCTAGCTCATGTATGTGTCATACAAGTATTTTTTTTCTGCCCATCCAAAAGTTTCATTATCCTAATAAAAGTATGATTCAACGAGATTAAGTTACAGTTGTCAACTTATGAATTAAACATTTAGATTAGAAGTTACTAAGATCGATGCAGAGTGGATTTGGAAAACTTGGAACTTACTAGATCTATTGTTGCTGCCACTCACACCCTACGATCACCACAGTCACTACCACCCAAATTTTGCCCCATAATTGTCACCACCTCCACTGCACCATACCCGCCACCACCCCCATTGTCGACACCACTACCATCACTTCCACCACCATTACTATCCTTCCGTCACCACCCCTCTCATGGCTTACACCACCCACGTCGTCATTGTTCCCACCACCACCTTCACTGTCGTCATTCTTGCCACCACCACTATCATCACCCTCATTGTCGTTGTCACTATTGTCATCACCACGACCATTCCTATTGTTTTCATAATCACCACCACTATTGTTACTATTGTCACCACCATAATCACCACCACCACCATTTCAACATTTCTGCTATCATCCACTACCATATCGCTAGAACGNGAATGGAAAGAATGTGGGGGATCCTTCAGTTCTCTGTAATGCTTTGAACTGACCACAAAACAACACATCCTGTTTAAGGAAAAACCATCATGCCCTTTGACACCCAAGACATTGTCGGGAACATGCAAACTATCAGGTTTTGGGAAAAGCATCCAATGACTCGAAATCATTGACGTGGCCACCTTGGTAAAGTGCAAAGAATGCTATGCCCACACATGAAGACAATAGACAATAGACAAGTAGACATAAATGTGAAAGATTGCTAGCTCATGTATGTGTCATACAAGTATTTTTTTTCTGCCCATCCAAAAGTTTCATTATCCTAATAAAAGTATGATTCAACGAGATTAAGTTACAGTTGGTATATGTCAACTTATGAATTAAACATTTAGATTAGAAGTTACTAAGATCGATGCAGAGTGGATTTGGAAAACTTGGAACTTACTAGATCTATTGTTGCTGCCACTCACACCCTACGATCACCACAGTCACTACCACCCAAATTTTGCCCCATAATTGTCACCACCTCCACTGCACCATACCCGCCACCACCCCCATTGTCGACACCACTACCATCACTTCCACCACCATTACTATCCTTCCGTCACCACCCCTCTCATGGCTTACACCACCCACGTCGTCATTGTTCCCACCACCACCTTCACTGTCGTCATTCTTGCCACCACCACTATCATCACCCTCATTGTCGTTGTCACTATTGTCATCACCACGACCATTCCTATTGTTTTCATAATCACCACCACTATTGTTACTATTGTCACCACCATAATCACCACCACCACCATTTCAACATTTCTGCTATCATCCACTACCATATCGCTAGAACGCTTACCACCGTCATCCACCGCTAGTATAGCCATCAACACTCTCATCCTACCACCACCTCTAACTTCACTCCCATCATCACCGCTAGTAGTCATGGTTAAGTGATGAAGGTAGTGGTTGAGGTGTTAATGATGGTGGAGGTGGCAGTAATGGTAGTAGAGTAGGTGACAACAAATGATACTGGCAATGCTGATAACAAAGGCATCAACAACATCGAAGCTTATGGTGGTTGTGGGATGGTGGAGAAGGTGATGGTGATGGTGATGGTGAGGCTGAGGTAGTACCAACAATGAGGTGTGTACGTAGGGTAGTGGACTAGTGGTGGTGATTGTGAAATAGTGGTGGTGGTAGTAGTAGGAATAAGATAGTTACACTGGGATAGTAAAAGTAAATAGCAAAACAAGCATAGTAATTATTTTCAAACATTGGTTCATTGAATTTGTTAAATAATTTGATTCAATTTAGTACTGAAATTTCAGTAAATGACAAACAGTTTACAGATTAAAACATTTGACATATAATTTTTAATTTTATAAAACACTACCTAAATTAAGAACTTTTCGGGGATTCAAACGAATAGTTGAGCTTTAATTGCTCTCTTGTTAAATGTACCATTTTTCCATGCCCATCTCATAAATATGTGTAAACTTTTTAGAACTCTTGTAGTCACTAAAGTATAAAGTTGATGCAGCATAAATATTCTATTATTACGAAAAATACTCTATTATTACGAAAAGAATTATATCAATTAATCAGAGATTTAGTCCAAATAGGTTTTGGCAAATGCTAGATCAACTTATTTAAAGGCTGGTTGATATTTTGTGGGAATTCAAGATTCAGAGCCCCTCTACTATACCTTTTTAAAAAATTTTCCCTCAATTGTAGATTATCAATCATATAATATTGATGAAAGACTCACTTATCTATAGTGAATCCCACATGAATGTATGATGGGTAATCTTTAATTGAAGAAAAATGTAAATTCATAATCTTATATAGTGAATGTATATGGGTGTGCATATATACCTTATGTATTGTTAATTATAAACTACTGCAAATTGAAATTCTCTCTATTACACTTTCACTCAATAATATATCACCTACCACGTATGGATGAGTGACCCACTTTTAAAATAGTGGATGTCACTTGAATTGTTAACAGGTGATCTATCATTAAGTGAAATTTACTAAAGGTATAATGAAGAGAGTCTCCACCATTCCGAAAAAAGAGAAAATATTTTCAATACTATGATTCATGCATCATCATCAATCTCATTTCTCTCATTCATGTCGTGGTTTATGTTCAGCTCTTGATATTAGAAACTCTCTCATGTCTCTGGTCTACATGTTTTGTGTTGACATCTTCCTCCTGAGTATGGTAGGGAAAAAAAGGCTAGGCTTTCATCAGTTTTACCACACCACATAAGAAGTATTTGGTTCCTCTTTAAATTATAATAACCACAGGAGAGAACATCCACTAAATCAGTTTTACTGTTTATAAATTAAAAAAAAAAAACTCAACTGATTTTGTTGTTAAGTTACAGGTAACCTAACAAGCACTATATAACCACAAAAATAATATCTGGAGCTAAAGAAGTAAAAACTCAAACACATTAAATAATAGCTCTTAATTGAAGTGCAAAAGACTAACTCGATCAAGAACCATTTGAGAAGACAAGCTTTCTACACCCCCAGCAATATGTGACAAACAAATAATCCATTCAACCTCAATATATGTGTGTGTGTGTGTGTGTGTGTGTTTGTTTGAATGTATGAGTTTTGAACCCCTAATCTTCTCGTTCCTTAATGCATACCCATGTTAACACTCAATCAACTATGCTTCAATCCTTTGGGAATAAAAAAAATTAAATCTTGACACTGCAAATTCATGAAACATTTAGTTTAAGATAGAAAATTTCACATATTAGCAAGGAATTGAAATTGATAGTAAAACAGTGTCAAGTAGGTACGTTAGTTCTAAGTAATGAACTTACCACCAACACATTGTGGCTATTAGTACTTGACTCTATTTCACATCTTTATGTCTCCTCAAGAATTCTACTTATATTGTTCCAAAGAAATGCAGCAATGTAGGCCACTATTTTTGGTAATAATGTGGCAAATCTAAGAGTACCCGAGCCGAAGTTCCAAATCCAAATCCTCCTCTGAATCATTAAGCAAGCCAATCTCCAAGTCCAACCTAACAATCTCTGCCTTCTTCGCAATCTTACATTCTTTTTCATCTCTCAAGCCATTGATTTCTCCAACTCCAAAAAGGGTTTTTGTACTTTTAATCTTTCTATAATCTTCACCTGTCGGGCTTAAGTGATGCCTGATTTCGGTAGGAGAGGCAGATGAGGGTGAAGATAAATAGGAGAGAGAGGGAGAGACCAATGGGGGTAATGAGGAAGTGAAGGGTGGGAACATTGTTGAAGGAGATGATGATTGCAATGAAGAAGAGAAATTAGGTTTAGGGTTTGAGTAAAGGCTAGGGTTTGGGTCAAGATCAAGGTTAAGAACAGAAAACTGGCCATCTCTTGGAGGTGACTGTCTCAACCTGGCTCTGTCTCTCCTGTGGACATTCATGTGGCCACCAAGAGCTTGAGCTGATTTGAACTCTCTTTTGCAGAAACTACAAGTGTAAAATCTTGGAGGCCACGAAAACCCACTAAGAAAAGCTTCTTCTCCATGGCTTCCACTGCTACAATCCCATAAATCTTTGACCTTGTGGTGGTTGTTGATGTCTTTCATGGGTCTACCAGTGCCCATGCTATGGTTTTTCACAGTATTCTTATCCATGGTTGCCTTTTGATTCAGTTAGACCTACAAGATCAAAAACAAAATAGTCTAGCTCACATCATATCAGTCAAAGAAGAGAGAACCAAATAAACACATCCCCTAAAAGATGTGTGTGGGTGGGTGATGTATTGGGGGAGGTAGGTGTGTGTGTGTGTGCGTGTGAGAGAGAGANCTACAAGATCAAAAACAAAATAGTCTAGCTCACATCATATCAGTCAAAGAAGAGAGAACCAAATAAACACATCCCCTAAAAGATGTGTGTGGGTGGGTGATGTATTGGGGGAGGTAGGTGTGTGTGTGTGTGCGTGAGAGAGAGAGAGAGAGAGAGAGTCACTGACCAGGGATTGTGATGATGGTAAGAGAGAAATAGAGAGAGAGAGTAGTGATGGGGGTTGCAGGAGAGGCCATAAAATTCTAAGCCAGAAGCTGAGAATCCCATTGGAGGGTATTACCTGCAAATGTTCCCAATGTTTTTGGCCGCTACTTACTAAATGTGGAACCTCGTCCTGCCAGGTTATAACTTTTTGCTAAATCTAGCACAAATCCAGCGGATGTTCTTTACTTCTCTTTGAAAATTGTATGTGAATCTTTATGAAATAAATCATTACGTTTTAAATTTATATTATTATATGGTTGGTTACTTTATTCTTGAATAGTATCTTAGTATAAAAGATTACTATCCTAAAATTCAAAAAATTATGACTCAAATCAGATTAAAGATTAATAAGACTTTAAGTCTTAGTATTAGAAGAGGTTATTGCAACATTTTTTTTTTGGTTCAATGGTTATGAACATTCGAGCATTTTATTTGCACCTTGACTAATTCTTTTTACAATTTAATCAAAAATTGGTCAACTATGTGCAGGATTAGAGTGATGATGATTGAATATGTCCGATTCATCTCTGTATTAGATTCTCTAGATATTCCCAATGGGTCTTTTACAACCAGACATGAAATCCCAAATGAGCAGACATGTAAACATTTTGGTTTCATTATATTTGGCTAGTCTATGAAAGTGGTATACACTAGATTATTTTAGAATTCAAGTAACAGTAACAGTAACTATAACAGACAATTAGGCAAACAATTACTAATATGTGGCTAGGAAGGCAATGGGCTCTCCCTAGCCTGAATCAATTATTGAACCTCCTCGGACTGGTCTCCTGCGAAGAAACGGAGATTATCTCTTTCGAGTAATGAAATCTCAAAAAAATGGCCATCACTTTTTTGATAATTGTGGAGTTGTCATGGACCCAGCCCAGAATTTTTGCTTAATGGCCCATGTCTGCCAATCACAAACGTTATGGGCCACACTAGGCCTATGTAGGGTTGGCAGTGGACCACAATAGGGGCAGGGGAGCAGTCTCCATCCCATCTCCGTTTCAAAAATATTTGTCCACCCTTCGGTCTACTCTCATTAGCGGGAAAATTTAAATCGCCGTCTCTGCCCCGCGGGTAAATTTTGATCCGTGTCCCCACCATCGTCTCTATCTATGACAATTAATTTTTATAAATTTAAGAAAAAAAAATTAAAAAAAAAGTAAAAATTAGAACTGAGTCTTCATGGATGGACTTATAATAATTTGAGTNCTCTATCTATGACAATTAATTTTTATAAATTTAAGAAAAAAAAATTAAAAAAAAAGTGAAAATTAGAACTGAGTCTTCATGGATGGACTTATAATAATTTGAGTCTGTTAAGGAAATTTATTTGGTGATAAGTTCATTTTTTATTTTACTAATAAGTACTTAAATCTACTATTTTTTAAAATCCCAAAAATACTCTTAATAGTGTTATTTTGTTCAATTATAAAAACCTTAAACATATTAAAAGTAACTTTAAATTGATTTCTTAAATTAAAAATTATTATCCCTTAATTTAATTTTAAATTGTAATTCAAAAGTTATATTCTCGCTCTTGTTAGAAGAAGATCATCACTCCAGTACAACAAATTTTTCTCCTTAAATATCATTTCTTCCTCCATAGCATCAAAATTAGTATAGTTTGAAACATCATCAATAACTATCATATTTTCTACTGAGGTATGGTCATCATAAACTTCTATGTCATTGATTTTTGGAAAAAAACAAAAAAAGTTGAAAAACTTGCTCAATGTGTTATTAGTTTGATCCCCAATTTTATTTTTATTTTTTTGATAAATAATCCTCAAATTTTTTCAATGTTTCATGTTATTATGTTTTTATTTGACCATGTTCCTATTTTTTCTAATTGACTATGTTACTATTTTTTTTCATGTTATTATTTTTTAGTGACCATGTTATTACTTTTTCAGTATTACTTTTTTGGATGATAAAGAATTGGAAGCTTCTTCCTCTGGTTATAAGTTTGAATGCTACTATTTTTATTTTCAATTTGTTCAATATTCTATATATTACTATTTTTTTTAGTTGAACATATTACTATTTTTGTTAAATAAGTTATTATTTTTTATTGAACATGTTACTATTTTTGTTAAATATATTATTATTGTTATTTTTTAAAATATTAATTAATATTGAATGTTACTATTTTTCATATTTAAATGTTACTATTTTTTTTTGTGTTTAAATGTTATTATTTTTTGTGTTTAAATGATATTTTTTTTTACATTTGAATGTTAGTATTTTTTTTTTAATGTTATCTATATATATGTGTGTGTGTGTGTGTGTGTGGATATAAATACATATGAGAGAGAAATTTTTTTAACTTTAAGTGTTGTTTGATAAAATTGAAAGCTAAAATCTAAAAACTAAAAGCTAAAATCTGAAATGTAAAAGTTGAATGCTAAATTTGGGGACTGTTTGACATCCACTGAAATTTAAGTACTGAATTGGACTAAACTGTTTGATAACTACAAAGAGCTGATGTCATAACATATGTCTGAAAATAAATTATTTTTATTTTTACCTTACTACTCTTTAATTTGAAAATTTTTATAAAATATGTCATAACATAAATTATAATTACTATTATCATATTGTAGTCTACATTTAACAAACGTATTATAAAAAAATAAATAAATAACATCTAAATAATACAATAAGTGAATAATAAAATCGTATAAAAAAAAAGAACAATAACTAATATATGTGCGTGTGTATGTGTGTGTATAGTGCGTGCGTATGTGTGTGTAATTATTTATTATGTATATTTTTGTTACAGAAGACAAAGAAGAAGATTTATCTGTTACCTATCAAAGAAGAGATCGGTAAGGAGGATAAATACGTTAGGGGTTTTGAAAATAATATTAATTAGAGTTTTAATAGTATTGTAAAATATTTTGAGGTATAATTGTCATATTATAAATATTATTAAAGATGATTTTGCTGGGTATTTTCAACTTTCAAAATTAAGTAAGGGATCTCCTACTTAATATTGTAGTCTATTTTTAAGGAATACTTAACATATTAAGAAAGTTTAAATTTTAGGTATCAAACGAACTTAATTAATAAGTGTCGAATATATTCATTTTAAGTGCTGAATTTAGGTTAACAAACACACTCTTAGTCAAATTCTTAAAATTTTTGAGTTTTAAATTTTTAGTTTTACTTCACTTCTAAAGGGAAAGGATAATCTGGTTAAAATGACAAAAAATGAACTTCATAACAAATAAATTTTCTTGACACACTTAAGTCTAAATAAGTTCATATAGAGAGACCGAAGTCCAAATTTTCCAAAAAAAAAAATCATAAAACATCACAAATAGATCTGCAAGAAAAATGAAATCTCATTATATAACAAATGAATCAAGAAAATAGAGGGAGAAAAAGTGAAGTGTTTTTTTTTTTGGTAAGAGAAAAGTGTATGAGGTTTGTGATATCATATATATATATATATATATATATAATCACGAGTTTAACAAGGTGGGACAGAGATGAGTTTCAGTCTATCTTTGCTTTCATTTTCGTACGAATTTATACGGATATCCTTGTATATGTCTATCGTTCAATACGTATAATTCATTATCGATTCAAACAAGACGAATTTGAACAAATTCTCGTTTTTTCCCGGTGTATGACCTACCATTTCTTGCTTTGTCGGGGTGTATTGGTTCGAAACTCATTAAATGAAGTCCATTACATGAGGCGAGGTAATGATTGATAAAGTCACTCGCACATTCGAAACTCATCCCCTTTAACCCTTAGGGATAGTTCAAATGATAATAAAGACGAGTTATAAATTCAAACATTTTGAATTCGAATCTTGATAATTTCTTGTGACTAGGTCACGAATTCCTCATGAATATGCTAGTTCTAACATAAATGATCTGCTCTAGATCGAACTAAGAAAGAGATTAGTCGAAATATGCGTAAGTTAAATTGAACACCCTCGCGAGAGTTCAACCCAAAAAAAGAAACTCACCCCCTTCTCCTTCCCCATCTCCATCTATCCACCACCACCACCATCCTCCCCCAAAAGCGCAAGAATCAACTAAAAATTGTTTGACAGGTAGCACTACTAATCAATTCTCTTTTGTAACCAAACTATTCCCAGAAAAATACCAAAAAATAAATCATTTTTTAGAATCTTTCATTTTTGTTTTGTGCTATTTGGACTTACATTGCTGCGCATCCATATACCATCATGATTAATAAGTACTTGCTCGCATTGCCAAACCACAATGACAGCCAGTTTAATTCAAAAAAAACTTTGATTCTTTTAACTGCAGCAGTCTAGATTTCAAAGAAAAAGAAATCTCAGTGAACCAAGATTTTCTTTCCATTTTCTCATGAAAAAAGACGAGAAACTTTTTCAGAGTATCCAAACAAACAAAAGATCTTACTCCATATAGCTGAGATTTATTGAAAGACTGGTGGCCAATGAGATGATACAATCGGGTTCCACATAAAGCTGTGGTATTAGAAGGTTATAAGGCCGAAACTGCAGTGTTTACCCACAGTGTAATACATTGCCGTCTCATGTACACATACCCAACTTTTATTAAAAGCTCAGACTAACTCTACTGAATAGTTACCATGTTTATATATGAAGAAAAAG